AAGTAGCTAGTTTATTGCCAACAACTGCCCTTATTAACTCTCGCCTATCGCTTCTAGGTCATCAAATTGTGGATATCATTTCTGAAAAGAATAACGGTTACTGCGCTCAGGGGATCCGATCCGACTTCCTGCTCCTACGCATCTCGCCTCCTATCACTTATTCAACCAAAACCCGAGCCATTGGTCTACACTGTTCACCTAGGGTGCCTGAACAGCTAGCCGCCCTCGGCTTCCACCTGCCTGGTCGCAACTACGGATTCATCAATGAGGCCGTTGTCAATGTAAAACGTGGGGAACACCGTTATCTGATAGCCCTCAATAACGACATCCCCTCCAACTCTGTGGGCCCGTTGGTTAGTCGCGAGCCGCGTCCTCGCCTCTTTGGTATGTACTCGCACCGGTATGGCACACGATCCTACTTCAAGTCTCTCGACAGCACCAGCTGCAACTGGATCAACCGTCACATCAAGATGGAGGAGACAATGAGGAGAGTATAGTAAAGCAAAACACAGCGAATTCCAGTTTGCGAATCTCTTGTCTCTCAACTTTTCTTCCACCCTTTTTCCCCCATCACCCAGCCACCCCCTTAGAAAGATATCCTCTTAGGGGATAGATGTCATCTGGAAAATTGACCAAACGGCTCACGTCAGAATACCCCTATTTACATACATATTATATGTGACAGGTCAGAAGTTCGGCCCCCAACGTAAGACGCTTTCTCACCACGCACAAGATTGACATCCGCTCTATTCTTCTGCATCATCAATAGCAAATACAGTAAAAACTGTAGCTACGTCTTTCATTCCACATACACACGTCTGTTTTTTTGGTCCGTAGAGGAATTACTTATCCCCTTTACCTATTTCTTGTTTTCTACCCCCTCTCTCAGCCTGTCATCTTTGGTCGCTGATATGACACGCTGTCGCGTCATTTCCTGAACAGATACAACAGAGCCGGCATTGAATCTCTCTTTCTCGTGCGTTTTATCGACTCATTTCATACTCACTCCATTTTCTGTTTTAATCATGAGGACTCCAAACCCCCGTTACACAGAGCATACTCCAGATGTTTCAAAGTCAGAAATTTATTTTACTTTGAGAACGCGCATTCTCCTCTTTAATTCGGGGCAATTCTGAAGCGAGCCCCGAGGAACTATACCGTGATCTCCGTGACATTGCGAGGGAGGATTGGTAACTGGAATACGAATTTGTTGCTCGACGTTTTGTAGTCATTATCGTAAGGGCAGATAACAAAACACAAGGATAATAGGCGGGTAGTGAGTGCTGTACAGATGGGATGCAATTAAGAAGAAGTCGTTTCGATCACCGGTGATCGAAACTACTTCTTCTCAATGTATGCACATACCTGGGATGCGAACCTTCGCCTCAATTCGTGGTATGCAATTACTAAGAAAACCAAATCCTAGAATTAGCAATTCTTTCAATCGTCGCGGATTCCTGTACTTGTGAGATCTTTTGCTCGGTCAATCTTTGCTCGGTCGGCCTTTTGCTTGAGTCGATAATAGTCGCGTTTTCATCACTGTTGTTGGCAACTGACGTGATAATGGCTTGGCATTTTGACTCATCCGTATCATGAACGGAAGCAATGCTCATTTTCACGCTCTCGGTGCGGGTTCTTAGACCATCAGGTCGAGGTCTTAAAGCTGAATAGGGGGGGAGAAGAGATCATTGCGTTTGTAGATGAGCTCCCGTTCGGAGACCCGTGACTCCAGTTGGCCGCAGTTATCAGTCTTTGCTAGCCATTTCACTCTCGTCAAATGTGATAATTTGATCAAAATCCTCTGAGTTAGTTGCGATTTGATACCGGATGCCATTTCTCTGCCCCCTTCACCTACTCCTGCTCCCCCACCACCATCTCCTCCTCATCCATCCTCATCACCTTCTTCTTCTTTCTTCTTGTCTTCACTGCTTAAGTGTATTTGGCCACCCACAAGGCAATGGCGTTTTATCATCGCGCTATAGTTTTTTCTATGCCAGAGACTTAATATAAACCTGATTTTACACTTTATCGCTCCACAAGCTAGCGTGATTGGCGCTAGTCAATAAGTTAGGTGATTGGAGTCCGTCCGGCGGCAGTTTATAGAAGTGTGAGTCTTCTTTGGCCGTAGTCTTTGTTGACTTAAGGTATGCTACCTCTTTTTGAATTAAGAAAATAACCTCATCAGCAACAGTGGTGCTACTGTGAATTGAAACACTCGATCAAAGTCTCTATGGAAGTATTTCTCATACTGGCAACATATATACTAGCTAAAAGCCCAGACAGGTGTTCCGCCGGTAGTCTGCCGTTGTTTGGTACAGCTAAAAGTGTCCAGTTCATCATTGGATTTCCTAACGTTCCCCTGTATGCTGACTGCTTGATGTACCAATTTCTAAAGTTCAACTGTTTAGTTTCCTTAGAATTTAATTATTGAACTTGGTACAAATCGGCATATTCAAGGTCTATAGGCATAGACCAAAAATTGATGTAAGTATTTTACTGAAATCTATCAGCCACTGCAGGAAAACAGGCAGTCACTAGTATGTATGAGTTGCAAAATTATCGACAACAGTGGCAGCACAGGTACTAGGTAAAAGTCCAGATAAGTGTTTTGTTCCAATGTTTCGTGTTTTGGTCCTGCAGTTGCTGCTGGACTTCGGCCCCAGATATTTACATCAAAATACGGTCTATGCCTATAGACTTTGAATATGCTGATCTGTTACAAGTTCAATAATTATTTTTCTAAGGATTTAGAAAGAGCTGAAATCAAAGTTTTTTTCTGAAAGTATTTTGAGCACACGACACCGCCAAGCTGTTTCATTTTGGGCCGAGGTTAGGGTTTATTGAAATTCTGATTTTGCGGTCATAACCTGGCACCGAACTGGCTGATAATTGCATCATTAAAAAGTTTGCCACCTGCTCATCTTTAATATCTTGTGGCTATCTGTTGCCATCGAGCCATTCTGACAGTAGAAATGACATCTGTCAATTTCTTTATAGTTCATTAGGCAAACGGCTTTGTGAACTCGAAACCACTGTTCCTATGGGTGCAGCAGCATATCAAACAAGGCAGGAGACAGCAAACTGTATACTATTTAGTGCAACACTACTAATTTCTCTAAGTGCGGTCAGCATAGGAGGCGATCCTCAAGCATTTCGAGGGTTTGAGTTCAAATTTTTACTCTTAGAAGTAATAAGATGTCTCCTTTGCCCTTCCCCAGCGCTAGGATCATCAATCAAGTCACACTTTCAATTGTATTTTTTACATTCTCCACCTTGCCTAGTAACAGCATAGCATGAAATTCGTAGCGAAAAAGGAAGCCCGGATACTGTTAGAAACTGTATGGCGATTATTTCCTCAAAAGTGTATATCCAGCCAAAATAATCCTAGGCGGTCCAGCAGCCAGATTAATCTCATCCCTGGGGACGCATATCCCTTATCGAAAGCCCGCTAGCCAGAGTACAGAGAAAATCTACCAGTAATAACAAAATCTTCTCCATCTGACCCTAGTCAGTTCTTCAAAAGAAAAGTAAGCAGACCTCCCCCACTGGAAAAATGGCTAAACAGGCTCTATTCAGTCCGCGGAAAAGAACAACGGCGTCCACTTCATGCTCGCGCGCAGAATTCCTATTCCTTCACACACCCTGAGGGTCGGGCTAGACTTAGAGCTAGTGCTACGATTTTCCCACGAATGAAAGCCCCTCGCCTTTTTCTCGTAGCTGAACTACAAATGCACGTCAACTCTTGTTGCACGCTCACTGTCTCTGGAGATGGCCTCTTGTAGGAAGCCGGAAGCTCAGACAAATTAAAATGCTGTCCTTCATAATCATACATGTTCGTTCCAGGCTGCCAATCAAAAAGCTTTGGTTCTTACGCTGAGAAGACGTTGTATCGGGTTTTGCGTGATGCACGCATAACGAAAGCGCAGTCTATAAAGACCGCTATTTTACCACAGTTGTGATATACAGAGGTATTTCATTTCGTAATTAAGACCCACTTATTACGGAGGAGTCGGTGGCCTATGATCGTCTCGGGTCTTGCGTGATGCACGCATAACCAAAGCGACGTCTGTAATGACCGTTGTATGAGCACAGTTGCGAGGTACAGACGTGTTTCATTTCTTACTTAAAACTCAATGATTTCGAGGGAGCCGACGGTCTATAATTGTGCTCCTCCCTCCTAATTTCCCATGCACCCTCCTTGAAAGGCAGAATAAAGGTAGAGTTGAACAGTTATTATAAATAATGGATAGGAGAACTCCTGCATTAGGGCGTTCACCTGCCCAGACTAGCAAATAACATTCAGCATGAGTCTTGGAGGAGACAAATTTAATCGCTAAGTCGTTAAAGAGGCCGTGCAATTGCAGCATATTTCTTTAAATCCACGTAAGCTGCAAAAGATAAACTCTAAGAATTGAGTGGAGGCTATTAAACAGTTTTACCACTTAGTTACTGAATGCAGGATTTGGGGCGAGCAGGAGCAAAAACCAATTGCCGGACGCATATTCTTAGCATACATCTACGTAAGACGTATAAACTTTGCGGAAGCAAGTTTGTTGACTTTTAGAAAAGCTTACTTTGCTATAAGGTATGGTGCTTAGGATGCTCGTCCCGCTTGTATCATTGCTAATCGCTATGTGACTGCCCACAAGGACGCCAGATTGAGCCGCAAAACGCCATGAAATGAACAGATCCGATGACGTGGTCGGTCATCCACCACATTTCGATAGGCATATGAGTCTGACTTTACCTTGAGCCTCGGGCGGTGCACTATCCATGGCTACACATGGTTGGCTGATGACGGCTAATGAAGCAGAAATGGTCACTCCAGTCTCAGTTATCTTTGTCGGTAATACTATTCTGTCCATATTACTAGCCCCCTATGCGACTGCTGGTGGGGCTTCAGAGCGGGCCCAAAGGCCCAATGGGACGGTGAGCGCCGTTAGCAATCAATGAGTGTCCCCCAACGACTGACTTTACCATTCATCCAATGTGAGTCTAGCAGATAACGCGTCTGATGAACGGTTAACCGAAATGTGGAACTTTATTTTCAACTGAATATCGTATAACAGGAGACTAAGCTATTTTGTTCACGTCAAGATACTGGCCTTTAAATGTGCCGCCTCACAGCTGTGTCAAGCAGCGGCAGAATGTCGGCGAAACACGTGTCTGGGTTTTTAGCTAGTACCTGTGCTGCAAGTTTGTTAGATTAAAATATCAGTTTGTCTCCATCTGTCGTTTGCAAAAATCTCATTCGCTCTCAAGTAACAACTTAAATAGTGTGTATGCTTTCCGACTGTTTTTCAATTACTTTGTATAGTCAACTTTATTTTGCAGAAAGCATGCTCAAAACAATTCTTTTTGTGCTCGCCTGGTAGCAAGACAGACGTTATTCTAATTGTGTACTCAAAAAAACAGTTTTTAATTCATACTTGTTGATGAACGTTCAACGCCAGCTAGCGGAACTCACTCGTCTCGCTTGGTCACGGGACTCATTTTC